TTTTTTTTCCTTCTCTTCGTATCACTCGTTGACATTGGCTGGTCCCCCTCCTCAATTCCCCAACACTGCTCCCCTCCCCCAATCCCTCAATTAAAAAAATAATAATAATAAAAAATAAGAGCACTCGTTATAATAACGAGAAATGTCTCACAGCCAGGCCAAAACTCAGTCTTTGGGTGTTTTTGTCAAATTATTAGATTAGCAATAATAGATACTTAAATTTTTTTTAAAGATTCATCAGTAGGATATAAATGTTAAAAAGCCAGGTCTCCAAGTGACAAGCTCCTTGAAGAGGTTAATTAAGAAACCACATCAAACCATCTTTCATTCCCCTTGAGGGAGACACGAGACATACTGCACAGATTGTGGGGCTAATTGGCCTTGATTCTGGGATTTATTATGATCTGGAACCCAAACTTTCTCTGAGGCTGGCAGTGGCATAATACAGACCCACAAAATCCACAGTGGTCTGGGAGAAGTCATCTGTGAACTCAGGTTTAATATTTATAATCAAATCAAATAGAAAAGGGAACAATGTGATGCTGGAAGAAGCCACACTAGAGAATTCTGAATCCAGTTATTGGGGCCATGTGAGTGGAAAGAGCACACTTCCTGAGCTGACAGATAACATTAGCAGCTAATGTGATAACTAACCATTCCATAATGAAACAATCTGGCACCTGTGTCAGCGTCTGGCTGTGGCTAATCTGTCCTGGAACTCAGTGCTAGTGCTGATGAGACGTCTCCCCAGGGCTCCCTCTCAGCCCTCCCCATCCACTCCCAGGTGAGGAGGAAGAACTCTCACTGCCCCCAACTGCACTTATTGTTTTTGCTTCTTGTTTAATGCACTGTCTTTCCCATGCTAACTCTGGCCCACACCTCCATTTCAAAAACGAAGCCAGTGCCCTGAGGAACCCTGGAGAGTACAGGAGGTAGGTGAAAAATGACCCGGGCACACACCTGTACCATTTGCTTCACCACACATGCCGAGTCACCTCCACTCACCACACAGGGATGGAAATGCTGTGGGTCCCCTCTACGGCTCTACCTTCTGTGAACCACGCACGGGGAAAAGATCAGAGCCTGGACTTGTGCCAAGTCTGCCTGAGCTGGGGCAATGCTGGGCTATTTAAAGAAGAGCTTATCCCTACCCACTGCACTTTTTCCTGGTAGAACACAGACGGAAGAGGAGACAATGGCCTTATTTCATTCATTCTGATGTGCTTGAACCCAGTGCAGTACCTGGCTGAAATAGGAGCTGTGTATATATTCTGAAATGAGTGGATGGAGAGATGGACGAATAGATGGATGGAGAGACAGTCATGTGAGAGTGGAAATAAACCTTTTCTTTCCAGAGCTAGCGCTCCGTCTTGACTCAGGCCACAGTCATACAGGCTGAGTATTTTCTCGGGTACCCATAGGAAGAGAGGCAAAAGGAGACAAGGGAAAAAAAGAGAGAGAAACATATCAATGTTCCAACCCTAATACATTGGTTAACTCTGCCAAGTCTTCAGTCTTGAGAGAGATGTGGAGAAAAGACACTCTCTCACGCTGCTGGGGGACTACAGGCTGGTACAACTTTTCCTGAAGGGCACGTTATATTGAAAGTCTTCATTAATGTTCTACTTCTAAGAATTCATAGAAAAACCATCATGGATGTACTAGACAATTCTGTATAAGGATAGTCACTGTAGAATTATTGCTAAAAAAAGAAAATTAATTCACAAAAGCCCAATAAGGTTTACTTTCATCCCCATCCTGGTGTCTGGACAAACTCATAAGGCTGCCTTCTCCCCAAGGGTTTGGTAAAACCCCATTAAATCAGTAAAACCAAAAACTAAACGCAGAGGAGTCAGTTCCTAGTACATGGATTCAGAAGAAATGAGAACTATTTACTCTCTGCCTCATTCCTTGAGTGTCGTTGAACATCCTGCTAACAGGACAGCAACGACTTTTCAAGTGGCCCATTTGTACCTTAATTAAAAGATTCATCTTATTTCCCAGTGGAGGAGACATGGACTTCTACAGCATCATTAATCCTGCCAGGTCCCGTCCACTCATTGACTCGTTCCCACTTCTCCTGATCCGACTAAAAGTTCAAAGCCCACTAAAAGCTCAAAAAGACTAAATCGCCTCTTCAGATCAACTCACTGGGGCCCAGTTCTGTGCTTTGTCAGAATGGGAAGCTGAACAGTGGTTCCCATTCACCAGTCAGTACTCATTTGGCTCCCTGATCTGAAGACACTTAAAAAATAATCAAGGAGGTGCCTTTGAAAACCGAATTAACCAGATGTGTGAGTAAGGAAACGAACCACATCACAGTAGAGGACTATGTCAAGTTCTTTGTCTTGAGCATCACATGAAGAAAGCTGACATGCAAATCAAATTATAGGGCCCCTTCACCAATATTGATACCACATAGTAGAAAATTTCCTCCATGTAAAGAAACTGAAATAAGCTATGAAAAGCTCGTACTTAAAAAATGACTACAGCCTTTGGGTATGTCTGGTTAATTCTGAACACAACCAAGATTCTGTCTTAGGAAGCTCGGGCTCAAGGGAACATGCTTCTCCCAACGTTCTCAGAGACTGAAGCCACCAGACCTCACCGCCTAGTGCACAAAAGCTTACCTGGTTCCTTCTGCCAATCCGATTTGGTCCTGGAGGCTTCGTGGGGGACTTGATGCTCTGGGGGCTCCCGCCATTCTCAGTGACCTTCCCTACACTCATTACCGCTGACATCATGGTGTTGATGGAAGACAAGTCTGAACCTTCCAAGCCAATGGGCGAACTTGACGTCATTGGGACAAGGGTTTATGCTTCTAAGAAGCCTCTGTCACAGAACTGAAAATTGGAAATTGCTGATGTGATCACCGGGAAGTTTCGGCTTCTGTTAGAGCCAGCTGACACTGGCCATAACTACCATAACTGTATGTCAGGTCAAAACATCTAAAACCCTCTTTCTTCAGTTCAAGCTAACACTCGTACCCATAATGACTGGAGCTTTCATCTAAATGAAGTGTTATCATTCCAGAGAATACCTTTGCTTCCTAAGTGTATCCCACCGACACAACTCCCAAAGCCACCTGAGGCAAGTCTCTTGGCCTTTCCTAATCTTTCATTAGGCAGAGTGGGAAAGGCTGAGCCAATAATTAGGCAGTCCAGGGAGCTGCCATTTGGCCAGCACCCTCCTAGTAACCTAAGTCATGTACTACTACGGGCATGCTGCAGACCTGACAGTTAATGATGAGAGTCGTCAGGTGTCACTGAGCTCCACTGCTGCTATCCAGTGATTTCTACAAGGGAGAGAGTTGTCTAAGCCAGCTGAGATGCCAACCCTATCAGGATTGTAACCAAATTTCAATCAACATAAAAAAGACTGGTTCTTAAAAAAATCCAAGTAGGTAATATACCTATACCCCAGAAAATGGACAGAAGAAAACCCAGCCCCCACTGCCAATTACCTCCATTTTCTGCCCCAACTGATACACTATGAGATTTTCCCCTGCTATAGCTATCATCCACGCGGAGGGGGAAATGAGTCTGTTTCACTCCTTTTTTTTCCTTCTCTTCGTATCACTCGTTGACACTGGAAGGGAAGCAAAGGTAAAAAGATTCAGTGACTGTCTCTTCCCTTAATGAAGATAAAATTGAAACCATTTACTTGCCATACATAATCTCAGACCACAATATTCACGAGAGTTGAGGGAGCGCAAACGAGAGGCAGTTTCTAAGTTGTCTTTTTCTTCCAAAACCACATTCTGCGGTTGTTTTTCATCCTTAACTGATGTTCCCTACAGTGCTGTCATCCTTACTCCAACAGCCAAAACAATTTTGTGGTATTTTTCTTTCTGAACCATATATATATATATAAATAAATTTTTCATATTCTACTCCACCCCTCAATAAGGACTCCCAGACTCTGACTTGACCCACCTCTCACCTCTACTTAAAACTGACCAAAGGCAAGGCAGTTGAGGAGTTCACCAAAGGCTCAGAAACCAGGTAACGTGAAAAGAATGATCAAAAGAAAACTGGCCCATGGCCACATCAAAACTTCCTTCTTCAGGCCTCTTCTAGTTAGTTGTATTCCTTGCAACTAGAAATACTGTGGCTATTGGTATGGTCAAAAATAAGTCTACAGGTAAACCATTTCTCTCATTTTATTTGGGAAGATATTATTTTATAGCTGAAGTCCTGCCAGTAAGTCACAAACCCTATGATCCTACAGTGTGCATTAGTAAACATGACAAGTCCACAAATGCAGTCAAAGGTCAAGCTCATTATCTCAGCAGCAAAGGGAATGCTTAGGAACAACACATGAATGCTTAGAAAGAACATGATTTTTGTGGCTTCCTCCTTATGGTGACAAATGGTAACACTCAGAGCAGCTACAAATGTGTCCAGCATCAGAGCAGGAACAGCCTCCTGGGAATATAGCTATTATGTGATGTTGCCATCAGCTCAGGAGCCCTGCTTCTAAAGTCCTACCGAAAGAGTCACAGAGGACCTCAGGAACAGTCCTTTTCTTGTCAAGAGACAAAGTATGCCTTCTTGTTAATAGACATTTTTAAGGTATGAACCCAATGGTTTTCCAAATGGTAGGACTAACTACAGAAACATACACCTTAAGACAACTGATTCAGCCTCATATCTCACATATTTTCCCATAAAGAGAGGAACGTTCTGATCAAAAGTAAAGGAAAAAACTAAACTGTTGACTTTAAAGTTTCCCCATGGTAGAAGACCATTTAAATTTAATAAAAATTGTGCTTCAAACTTCTCATTTTTAATTGTCTTTGAAAGTTTATTTGAGAGATTTCTCTCTAGGAAAAAACATGTGACATGGTACACACACACACTTCTTTCGTAATGGATTTCTAACAAAATTATTATCAGTTCCCTAGAACTGCTGTAATCAATCAGCATGCAATTATTTGTTTGATTCAAATAAGTGGACATCTTCAATATCAAAATCATCTTCATTCTTTTAAATATACTTCCTCATAGTTTTGATATATAGTAAATTATAAAATAACTGATTAGAAATCTTGACTGTAATTATGTTGTCAATAAAAAGAAAATTAACCTTTCTACCAATTTACAGCAGGAGTTTAGAAGATGATCTTGCTTTTGTCCTAATTATACTTAGAAAAGAAAAATGTGGTAGTATTTACTCAAATCTGAGACTTAGAGTAAACCCCTTTAGGACTAAATATAAAATTTTAAGTTCCAAAAATATATATTTTAATTCTATCATTGAGTAAAGAGAGTGGAGAGGAGGGAAACAGTCAATACGAAATTAACAAAAATATATTCACTAAGCAGAGCCAAACTGCCAGTAAGAATTTTTGTCACTGTCCCTATAACATTAAAGATAAATTCTTGCTTAAGCAACCATAAAGTTTATATTTATTCTGTAGCTTGTTATTATGAAGTTGTTTCTCAGGCTGTTTGCTACAAAGTGCAAAGAGCTTTCTGGTGATTGCAGAGGTTTGTTGTAAAGGTTCCAAGGACTGTTGACTTGTGTTCTTGAGATCATAAACATTTGTAATGTAGAAGAAAAAAAGATACATTCTTACAAATTATCTAAGTGTCTTAAATACAGAATACCCAGCAATAGTCATGTACCTAACCAACACAAGGACTGAAAGTCGCAAGGGCTTATCCCAATTGGAAAAGGAGAACGGTCATGCAAACATGTTTCCCATTCTGTCTAGACAAGAAGACACTTGCTAAAAATCTATTTCCTTCTTTGGGATAAAGTGTGAAGTGTGACATTACCCACTGATGACACCAAGATCACCTACATTTACTTCCTTTTCCTGGTTGAAAGGTAAGTGAACAGCAATTAAAAAAAAAAAGAGCCTCTTCTCATCTCTACTCGTGAAAGTGCAATTAACAAAATAAAGCTCCCAGCTACACTGTTTGAAAAGAAGCAAAGAGTCATTACACTCATCCTTGAAGAGCTGTTTCAGAAGGAACCCAAACCAGCCCCTCTGGAGCTATTGCAAGGTTTCACTCCAGCTTGTTCTTGTGTTTTATACTTGAATTCTCCTTTGGGATGATGGCGCAGGGAAAAGGAAAAGCACCTGGGGTGAAACACAATGCAGAACACTGTTCCATGTTAGGGAAAAAAAGCGACCTGAAGATGAAGGCTCATCTAGTGTATGTGCTAATTTAACCAGAAGCTAGCTGGCGGGTATTATCAGTCAACTGCACCTACCCCATGTCTGCCCCTGGACTACACTGGAATAATAACCCAACCTACCCAACCTAAACCTTCTGATACCCCATCTCAGGGAATGAAAATAAGTTTAACTGTTTAAGGGCCATTTACAAAGCTCATTTTCCTTTATGGGTATTTATTGTCTTAATATTTTCATTCTTTCCTTTGCCCCATTTCTTCTCCCTGACAGCATCCACACATCAGCCCCATCAGAGCAAAAAATAATAATAATAAAAAAAAATTTATAAAAAAATCACTGGCCCCATTCTAATACAATCTCCTCCAACTGGAATCAGAGAGGACTGGGAACTCAGATGAAATTCCCAAATCACACATTTGAAAAGAAATCACTATCTTCATCGACATGGCCAACCAGACTAGCTTGGTTGGTTCCAGCTTTTAACACAAACAGTCTGGATCTGGGAGCGGGGCGGGAGAAGCCCGGAATGGGGGTGTCTGACGCGTTGGTTTTTGTGAGACAAACACTAGACATTCTTTCTAAGATGTCTCATCCCACACCTCAGGCAAGAAGAACTGGCAATTCAGTTACAATTCTACCAGAGGACCTGGAGAAGAGGGAGGGCCACTCAAAGGGTACATGGGGAGGCAGCGGCCCGGGAGGGAAGGAAGACTCAACATTCGAAGTTATTGTGACTCAAGGGAAGTCAATAAAGTTTAACTGACCTGTTTACCTCGTCTTATCAATCTTGGTTCTCCTTACTGAGGAGCTGGTGCTGGCGGGGCCCGAACGTGGGCAGGGTCACACCTCAAAGCAACCACCTCTGGAGGAGAATTGGAGCAACCTACAAAAACGAGAAAAGATGACATTTATAGGGGAGTCAACACCCTAAACGATCCCATCTCTGTACCTATTTCTCCACTCAATGCTACCAGGAGTCACAAACTAAGGACACCCCTGCCTTAGAAGCACGCTTCCAGCTCCCAAGTTGACGCCTCCCAGTCGTCTATTAGCACTGGAGCAAGAGTGACTAGAGTCAGGTGTGCCTTAGACAAACAGGAACTCCCACAGCATGCTGCAACAATGTCAAGGGCAACATCACCTGAGAATGGCTTGGACCACTGGCTCCAAGGGGAGCTTCAAGCATCTTAATGGCATGTTTAAAGAGTAGAGAAGGACGAGACATCACTAAGTGCTACCAGAAAGAGAGAGGAAAAAAGAAGAGCCGAAGAAAGTAAAAAATAAGGAACTAAACAGTCCCCAACGTAAAGGAGAAATTATTAGATCTTTTCCTGAGTGACGGGGGAAGTGTCCATAACAGTTGAAATAGGACCAAATGCCTATTTTTTTCTTTTCTGTAGAGAAGATGCAGAAAACTACTCAAATTACAGGCGCCCTTCAGGAGTTTGAGAATGTCTGCTCTGGGTGCCAAGGGCCTCAAATGCCTGACCTGGGATGAAACTGTCTGGTCCTCTGCAAAATGAGAGGAAACTGGAATGCAGCATTTCCCAGAGCTAGCACTCAGCCACACTCGCAGTCTCTGAAAACAGCATCCTGCAGCGAAGCTGAAGAGTGAAAAACTGGGAGAACTAAATAAGTAAAATAAACCACCACACAGACAAAACCTCTGGAGAAATATTTGCCTAGTACGTTTTCTCATTTTTATCCCTTTTTGGAGAGTTGGGAGAAGCTGCCCAATTGTGTGACACGCCCAGTTATCACCTTGACTCTTACTCACTTTGTCCACACCATACTTAGTTCCTCAGCACCAGAGGTGGCAAACCCCTGCCAGACCGGTCAGTTGGGGGTGAGAAGGCCCCACCAGCCCTTTCTGTTGGAAGCAGCTCCTTACAAGTTCTGACACCATGAACAGTTTCTCTCCCTTGATACCTCACTGCTTCAATTCGCCATCTTTTTTTCTCTGGGCCTCTCTCTCTTGAAAAGTCCTTTGTATTTTGAACCAAGTATCAAGAAACATGGTGTGACTCATACTGGACATCCCCTGAATGGGGCAGAGACCCCTTAAGCCTAGAGGAACCCTTACTACTACCCTAGAAATTCTCAATGTTTCTTGGGGGGCAAGACCCTCCTTGAGGATCTTATGAAAATTATGGTCTGTCCTCCAGAAAAATGCACACTAACATTTTCCTTCAGGATCAGGAGGGTCAGGGACCCCAGAAACCCATCAGGGAAAGGTAGGACAAGAATCCTGGTTTTACTTGATATATAACCCACGTTCCTTTAAACTATGAATCATGTCAATTTTATTAAAATTCTCATGAGGTTTCAGAAATATAGGTAGCAAAACATCCCTTCTGATCATCCCCACCCATTGAACTTAAAGATGCCTAAGGTAAAATTAAACACTAAAAAAAAAAAAAAAGCAAGCAAAATTTCCCTGTTATTATTCATTTTTAAATTAATGGAAAATTGTATTAGGAAGAAAGTCTAGAGAGGAGTAGCTCGGTTTTTTTCTAGAAAACACCAAGATCTCAAATAAGTGAACTTAAGTTCTATCCATAATTAATAAAAACACACATCAGAGAGAGAAGTCTCTGGAATTAAAATTTTTCAGACTATAACTAAGACTCTCATTAAAATTGAACCCACCCCTTCCCCTTATTTGAAAAAGAGACTTGAAATGTGCAAGTAACCTCCTCAGCACCCACAGGGAACCGAGGGGGGTGGGGGGAGAGGGCCAGCCTGACTGACTTGACCCTGAGACTTCTTTCCTCTGGTCTTGGATGTAAATGGCTTGAACATTGAGAATGTCCTGCAATTACGCTGAGTAACAAGAGTCACTATCCTGTTTGTTTTGGGTCCCACCAGGCCGGAGGGATTCACAGAACTCAGAGAGTGGAAAAGTACAGGGCAGTTCCTGGGAGAAAATTCAAGATACCCCTTACCTCTATCAACACCGCTGGGGGGGGGGCGGGCTGGTGCCCTAGGAGAGGACTCCTGGAGGGGAAATGGGACAGAACACAGGCTGGGGAGGCATGGGTATGGGTGGAGGGTCTAGTGGCTCCTAAGGGAGGATGCTGAATTTCTGGATTTGCATTCCCTCACAGGCTTTGCCCAGATCCAGTGGAAGCGGGATGACTTGGAGAGGGCAGAGGTCCATCTGTGAGGATGAGGGGGATGGGAAGGCCAGCCCCCAGCCTCTGAGGAGATAAGGGTCAATGCTATGTAAAGCCAGAAGGAAAAGATTAAGAAGCCTGTCCCCAGGTCCAAGATAGCAAAGAAGAGATGAAAGATAAAAGAGAAGATGCTCTAGGAACAAAGCTTCCCAGCTTCTGAAAAACCTGCAGTCTTAAAGTGAAATCTAAAATCTGTCCTCAGGCTCCCAGGAAAGATGAGCTAAGTTTAGATGCCTGAGGATGACGGAAGAGGCCCCCAAAGGATATAATAGTGAGCTTTACAACACAGAACCAGGATAGGTGCAGCGCTGAGCCTGCACGGCTGTCCTCAAATACTTGGGATGGTTGATCCGATGATTGGAACAGCCTAATAACAGCCTGGCTGGCCAATTCTGGCCAACGCAGGACAGACTAAAAGGGCTTAAGAGGAATTCAGATACGAAAATGCTGTGAGCTATGGAGCTTAACAAGCAGCAAGGACATCTCTGGAAGGATGGGCTGAGGCAGAAAGGCAATATTCTTGCCCAGTCTTGGCTAGCTGGGGACAAAACCAAACCTGGCTAGATGTGGCACCATGGCACTGCCTGTTTACTCTCCCCTGCCTGCCAAGCTCAGGGCAAAACCGTCTCCTCTAACCAGGACGGCCTAGCGTGTGCTCTGAAGGCTAAGACAGCTGTGATGACGGCTCTGAGTTCCAGGAAGTTGATGTGTTTCTTGGCTTAGGGTTCAGTCTGTGCCTTGGATAGGGCGGCAACCCATGCAAGTCACCCTCCCCACTTGCTGACATGGACTTGGTCACACAGAGCACGTGAGCAGGCCCTGAACAGTCGGGTGCACTGAGCTGTTCCGGCCAGTTCTGGATCTCCCCCCTGGGAGAGGAGGGACCACTAAGGGGGGAGACACACCTCGGGCCCACATTGAAGACTGCAGAATGTGGAGGGGAGGAGCAGGGACTGTGGCAACCCTGGGACCCAAAACCAGGTCTGTGGGTCTCCACTTGGGTCGTCTTCTGATCTCTGTCTCAAGACTACAGGAAATGGTCAGACTTTTCTAACCTGCCACCCAAAGCCCTCCAATGCTCTGGCCTCAGTTTACCTTCTGGCTTTCTTGCCCGCCAGTCCCCACTGTTACCTCCTGTTCAATGTCTTCCCCCAGCTCGTCGGCCTGCATTCCCCCCCCCCTCCTCCCTCAGGGGCCACTTCCACAAGCAGCTTCCCTGACTCTCCCTGACCCCAGGCTCTGGAGCCCTTGCAGTAGTAGCAGCAGCTAACACTTTTGAATCCACACGCTTTCATCTGTATAACAAACACTCTAGGAGGGTGTACAGATGAGAAAATTAAGGTTTCGTGGTTAAGAAACTTGCCCCAAGACCATGGTGGTAGAGCGAAGTAAATCCAATTTCTCATCTCTGTTAAGTTTCTTTGGACAAAATGTGCAACTCCTGGCACATGGCTTGAGAGAACAGATGCACTCCCCTCAGTCACATTCTCTGACTTCGAACAATCACACTGAGTCACTCCTGCCCCTCCAGGCTGCTCAGCGCCCGGCCTTCCCATTTCTGCCTGTTTCTGGGCAGGAAAAAGGAGCTCTCTGCTCCCGCCTTCACCTCTGCCTTCCTCTCTGTGCCAGGAGGCAGGACTGGACTTTTACCTCAGACTAAAAAGCTCGCTGCACAGGGCAAAAGTTTACAGCCACTCACTCAGGGCCCTTGCGGAACAAAGGGAAGGGGGACTCCACACCCATCAGGCCAGAGGACCAGAAAGCAGCCCAGTCCTAGCTGAGGACTGGATCAACTGACCCACCAGCACGCGTGAGCCCGAGCTCGGCAGTGACCTGCGTGCTCCAGTCACTTCTGCTTTCATGGAAATGAAATGCAGACCTAACGCGGGAGCAAGTTCCGATGGGGGAGCCTATACTTTCAGGTGCTGGGGTTCCAACCAGGTGTGTGTATAGGAAGCAGTGGGGGGCAGGAGATGGGGAGCATAGATGGTGGGAGTGAGTAGGCAGAACTGCACAGATCAAAAACTAAGCAAACACCTTACAAACAGTCTCATCTGGTGAATGAGAAGTTACCCGCCACTGACCCGCCAACACAGCCACCCCAAAGAGTAGCATCTCATCCAGCAGCATCGTGGACCATTTTTAGGAGTGCAGATTCTCAATACACGGAAGTCACCTTAAACTTACACAGTGCTGTATGTGTCATTACATTTCAATAAAATGAAAGAAAAAAAGAGGTTCTCAGGCCTCACCCCAGACCTGCTGCCTCAGAAACTCCGCTGGGGCTCCAGGGGGCTCGTCTTTTCAAAGAATTCTGGAAGAAAGGTGAAAGAAATCCAAGGAACTCCCTGAAAAACCTTCCTTCTGTGAGGATTCAGGAAAGACTGGTTTATTACATCCCTAGAGCAAAAATCAAGGTGCTGGTTCTAACTTGAGCTTTGTTCAGCCCAGTAAAATAATAAATAAACGAGGGGCGATTCATCTATGCAGGGCCTGTTTTAGCTTCCTCAGGAACAGTATGTGTTGGATGTGAGAGTCAGACAGGGCAGGGCCAGCCTGGAAACAAAACCACTCACCCGCCGGCCTCCTCGCAGCCCTAGAGCCCCAAATCTCTCCAGCAAAAGGGCTCACCACGCTGTGCCACTCGCGGAAAGCTCCTTGGAGGGTGCTGTGGGATGGTCTCCCAAGTTGAGCCCTTTGGCCAGAA